GCTGTTCACGTATTGCATCCAAAACTACGTTAAAAACATGAAGCATGCTTCTTCCTTTACTGATTTAAATGTGTTTCTGAACTGGTGATCCTCTGCTGTTTGCTTTTGTTTTGGCCACCATCAGCCATTCCTTCACACACTTCAACTTTTGCCATTGTGTGGATTAATACTGAATGCGTTTCGTTTTTATTGCTTGGGGTTAGGTTTAAGAGTAGAGTATATGCTAGTGTTTAACTGCATTGCTTCATTGCATTCCTGCATTGGGCTCTCACATACTTTCTGCTACTTCATACTATAGCCGTGGTGGGCATTTCTGGCTGTCATGTGCTGAGCACAGTCGACCAATTACAACAGACTGGGTCATTGAATTGAATAAACTAAAATGTAGCGTATGTGTGTGAATGAGTGTGTAAGGATGTTTCCCAGTACTGGGAATCCATGGCAGCATCCACTGTGTAAAACATATGCTAGATAAGTTGGCGGTTCATTCCGCTGTGGCCACCCCTGATCAATAAAGGTACTAAGCTGAATGAAAATGAATGAATGAATGAAAAGGGAAAATACATTAAAGTGAATAGGCTGAGAATGACATGTTCCTCAAATTTGTGGTTTTACCTCAAGAAAAGTTTGTATGCTTGTGCTGTTTCAACAGTAGTACTCACTGCATGTCATTCTGTGATTTGTCAAGCCCCTATAGTATGACCACCAATATACGCCACTGGTAGATGCCAAGTATGAAAGCCATCAAGATATGCGCATGTCAAATGAGCTGGCGTGGTCATGAATCATGTGTTTTAGTTTGTAGAGTGTGGATGAAAATAGGATTTTGCAGTAAAACGGCAGACTGGAGGAGAACTTTTCAGTCTAAAATGCTGTTTTAAACAGTCTTGGGTAAATGTAGTATTATGTTTACATTTTTATGTGCACTTAAAAAAATAAGTCAATAACATTTACACACTGCCTTCAAAATTCAAAATCAAGATTTTGTTTTTTCTCATATATACCAAGTGTTTTGACAATTCAGAGCCACCATACAAGTGAAATCTAAAATCTACAAAGGCGTCTGAATTAATCCACTTCATCTTGCAACTTTATGACAAACAAACAGTGAACTATAAAGTCATGTGTAAATATGTGGCAGATGAACTACAGTCTGTCTGGTGTGTGTGTGTGTTTGGTGTGCGTGTTTGTGAGTGTGTCCAAACATCTGACATACTGTCAGTCTCTGTTCAGGATCATTATTGTCTTTCTGTTGTTGTTTTTTTTTTTTTGAAGAAGAAGCAGAAGAAGAGAGAGGGGAACAAAAGCATCCCTGCGTGAAGACCCCTTTTTTTGTATGATTTTGCAAATTTTTTTTACAATGGATGCATAATTACACATCTCACTTGGTCTGAAATGTTAACCGAATACAAAATAAGCATATGAAAATTTCAGACTCTTTGCAAAAGCCTTGAGTGCTAACTGTTCTAACTAATAAATAGAGATGATTAATTGAGAAAACAGTATCAGCCCTGGTTAAAATACCTTTAGCTATTATTATAATATATTAGACATTACTTTCACGAGCATATAGCCTCTCAAGATGTAGGCAAAGAGGTTGATTTGTGGTGGAGTCCAATATAAAAACCCAGTGTGAAGCATTGTGATGCTCAAATTAAGGCTGGAAAGATGACGGCGATCAATCTTATTGTCAGAATCTCATTTCAGCTTGAACTCGTATGATAAAACCGACAGCATTATTAATTGTGAGTAATTGCTTTAGAAAACTTGAAATTGGCAATTATGCTACGAGACATTACATTTGTGACACATGCATGAAGTATCTGACCAATCACACCCACTGGTTTAGCTGGCCAATCAGAGCACTCTGGGCTTTTTGGATGGATAGGATTTTGTTGAAACTTGAACACTATGATAATAATCTGTTTTTTGAGCATTCAAGCATGCTAACCTTTCATATTCTTTTATTATTTTACTCTAGATATCTGTTAAAGATTTTAAGATGGATTAATTGATAATTAACCCCTGTGTACTGTTCAAATTGACTACTCTTTTGTCATGTTTTTGTTATGGCCCCATTGACTTCAATTATAACCACATTTTTTGACTGCAAAGCCATGACAGCATATAATCATGCATTCTTAATTGTTGCCGTTTTTACTTGTTGGAAAGAGGTCAAATGTGTAATGTTTACTGTTGATCATCAGTTTGCAGCATTAACCCTTTAAGGTTTCTGGCTTTTATATAAAGTTCTAAACAGTAGATTATAGTAGATCAGGTTTTTTACCCCCGAGTCAGAATCTGAGTCATTTGGTTGTGTATTATTCAAATGTACTAATATTTTATAATGCTAGTGGCTGTTTTTGCCCCATTGACTTCCATAATAACTGCATTTTGATTGCAAAGCCATGACAATAATCATGCATTCTTGATTTGATTTTGAGTATCTACCGATACTGAAACACGATCCGACACTTCTATAACACGTAAAAAAAGACAGCAGACATGCTCACAGTTTCTGCTTTAAGCCACTTGGGTGTTCTACTTTGCTGGTGTTGTGCCGGAAGACGCACCCCCTCTGAAATGTACATCTATTAACTGAAATTGCTAAAAATAAAAAATAAAAAATCTAATAATAGACTTATGACACTAATGAGAGTGACTGAGATGATTTTCATGAATGAAACCCTTCCTTTACTGAAGATAAATAAATAAATAAATAGATTGACTTTAAATACAATACCGACGAGATTAAGTAAATTGTTATATGTGTGGTTTAGTTTAAAACAGCATCAACAATTTTATGTTCAAACCCCAGCAAAAAGCCTAATCTTAGGCTACACTACAGTCATTATTATTATTATTTACATTTATTTGTAAACCTAGTGCGTTTTAAAATGTGTGTCACTTCTTCAAAATAATGATAATTTTATGTTTTAACCAATTATGACATTTGAATTTGCATTTTGCGGCAGGATTGTGTTTCACTGCACAACAATAAAGTCTTTGCAACAAAGTGATGTCATGTCACGCGATGCTGTTTCTGTGTAAAGTCAAGAAAGAAGTCTCTGTGCCACTGCATAGCTATAGACGTGTTAAAAATATTGAGAAAATACAGTTGAAGTCAGAATTATTAGCCCCATGAATTTTTAGCCCGCTTGAGTTATTATTTAATTTTCCCCCCAATTTCTGTTTAACAGAGCAGAGTTTTTTAACACTTTTCTAATATTGGATAATAGGAACCATTTTTTATTATTTTTGTCTCTTTTTCTTTTAATCAAACAATTATTTGTATTGGTCATGTAAGGGTCATATATTATCTGAACTTCTAATGTTGTGGGTGAGTGCTGGGCATACTAATTAGCATTTTTGCAGAAGTAGATAGATGCGGGTCCAAAATTAAATTCAGCTCTGCAGAAACTTCCTGTCTGAATAGAGGTGTTAAAACAGAACACAGAAAGATGTATACTTTGTTGTTGGGCAGAGAATTCGTATAAAAAGAGGAAGTATGTCGAAGGGGCGGCCAATGGAGGACTGAACAATGACTGACAAGTGACGTTACACCAAAACTCCACCTGTTAAGATCAGTTGTGAATATATTATTCATTTGTATCCAATAAATTGTTACGATTTTTGACATTGAAGAAAAACCTCTCCTGACCTTTTCTCTTGAACACGCATGGAATAGAAATAGAAATTCCAACACTAAACATAATAGTTTTATTAACTCATCTCTAATAACTTTCTAATCTTTGCCATGATGACAGCAAATAATATTTGACTAGATATTTTCATGACACTTCTATACAGCTTAAAGTGACATTTAAAGGCTTAACTAGGTTAATTAGGTTAACAAGGCAGGAGTAGGGTAATTAGGCAAGTTATTGTATAATGATGGTCTGTTATGAAGACTATTGAAAAAAAAATATAGCTTAAAGGGGCTAATAATATTGACCTTTGGATTTAAAATAATGTAAAACTGCTTTTATTCTAGCTGAAATAAAACAAATAACAAACAAAGAAACATTATTATCCTTGCTCTCTTAAACATCATTTGGTAATTATTTAAAAAAGAAAAATAATTTAAAGAGGAGCTAATAATTCTGACTTCAACTGTATACAATGAATTTTGATAGCCATTTGGCCATCGGAAAGGAGGCGGACAAACGACAAACTTTTAAATGATTTAATAATGAAAAATAAAACAAACAGACTAAATCCAAAACATAAATCGTCCAGGCCTGGTCCTATCAATGTCTGACTTCGACTGAGTCTAAAACCACGTGATCCAGCCTGATTTCTGATCACGTGATCGGATCTGGACATCCCTAGATTATAGCGTGTGCATAAATACACTTACTATGTTTACTATGTTCTGAGAGCTGAAGGCCTTATTTCTATCTTCTTATACATATAGTGTACGAAAGTTTTCTTACGCTTTCTCACTTTCTTATGGCCCATTTCCACTGAGTGGTACGGTACGGTTTTGTTTGGTTCGCTTTAATGGCCATTTCCACTGTCAAAAGGCGTACCGAACCGAACCGTACCACTTTTTCGGCACCCTTTCGAAAGGGTACCAAACACAAGAAAGGGTACCAAAAGGCAGAGCTAGACGCGCAGCTGAACGCTATTGGTTTACAGAGATAAAAACAGCCATGAACAGAACTAAAGGATAGTCAAGTTTATTGTTGAGTTTTTGAAAAACAAAGCATTTTCTCAAAAAACATGTCAAAATAAGATTCATTACCAAAAATCATCCCATTTGCTGAAACGCAGAGAGTTGAGCTGAGCCAAATGAAGCCTCAAAATGAATAAAAAGTCTAAAAAAGAAACTAAAATATGATTGTCAGGAATAAAAAGAGTGTCTTACATTGAAACTTTATTCCTGCTTATAAGAGAACAACAAATATTATCACTGTCAATCAAACAAGATCTAACACAATCATGTCTACTGTGTGATAGCTCTGCATGTGTGTGTGTGTGTGTGCGTGTGTGTTTACCGGGCATGTGCACCATGCGGCAGTTGCAGTTTTCCACCAGATATCGCGTCTCGCAGTCGATGCGGCAGGCGGTGATACTGTATGTGTTGAAGAAATCAGAGTCTATCGGCGTAGCCTTACAGTCGCCCCATGGAGGAGGAAGATACGTCAGCTGTGAGACAGACAGACAGAAACACAATAGTGAATTATTCATAACAGGAATGTGTGAAGCTGTCTCATGCAAACAAACAAACAAAAAAATGCTTTATTATGCTGCTTGAATTCGCAAACTATTTTTACTTTAATTGTCCTGCAAATTGTTAGCACTGTAGTTGTTTATTATAGCAGCTAACGAGTTTGCAGAATCAGAGAAAACAGCTAATTTTGCACAGTATGGACATTACCAAGTTCTCAAACTGATGCATTATTTAGTTTTGTAGTTTGGAATGTGTCTTTAAAGGCTGCATGATGTTGTTGCCTGCATTAAGAAGCAGCTTTGTATGCGGTTTAAGATTGTGTCTAGGTAGGCTGCTTACTGTACTATGTGTTTTGGACCCCTCCGTAATCCCTGGAGACACTTCACTATCAGCTTAAGGAATGCGCACAGCATAAATAAATGCAAATGCATGTGCTAAAAATGCATATGGGAACTCTAAACAACAACAACAACAAAACTTTGCATTAAGTCTCTGCATATGGATTCATTATTATACATAAACATCCTACAAAAGCCACAGAAACCATAAGAGAATTTTTGAAGGTTCAAAACAACAGCTCTATACCGCCAGCATCTGACATGTTGACTTTACTCTGAAACCTGCCAACAGAGGCAGGACTGGAAGGTGATATAGGGCAGTCTTCAATGCGAACGCTCTTCTAAAAGACATGCAGCATCATTACGCTCCAAAAACACCTTGTTTTTTTGCATACACCCACGATGCCATGTCAAGTTGAAAGAACTTCGAGTTTTGCAAGCAGTGCAGCTCATGACTGTCAAGTCCTAAAGCAATGGTCCAATCAGAAGAGCTCAGAGGCAGAGCAACTGTTGCAAGCTTCTGTTTATGGTTTATTGGAGTTAATAATTTAAAAGTTAGAATTATATCGGTTACAAAAACGCATTGATACGCTTCATAAGACATGTGTTAACCACCTGGCGGTGTATGGGTTAGTTTGGCGACAGATTTATGTAACAATTACTATGTTCATTTTAGGGACATCTATAAGCTGGTGTGCTCCAAAACAGTGACAAAATTCATGTTTGGAAGATCTGATATAAACACCCAAAGTGGGCGTTACGGTGGCGCAGTAGGTAGCATGATCACCTTATGCTGTGTTCACACCAGGCGTGGAACGCATAGATAAATCGCGCTATTCGTGTGTAAATAGCCGTGTGAACATTTGAGTTTACTCGCTTCATTCGTGCGTCAAGCCCCGATTTATTTGCGTGTCTAGACCGCTTCATTCGCTCGTCAAATTCACTTCAGAACAGATGCGGATTCGCGTGATGAGCAGGGCTTCTGTCTGCCCGATGACTCTAGCTTTGTTGCTAAATGGCTAACATGGATTTTATTAAGAAAATAACAGTGTTTATGTGCTTTATGAAGGCTGAAAAACAGCGTCGATAAGTTTAGGGCCGTGTCTGAGTCCACTAGATCCTTTCAGAGGTGTATCCAGCTCTTTGAGCTTATAAACTCCTCTAGAAAACTAACCTGGATCGAGGCATTCAGTAGTGCTTCTGACTGAGCCAAGCCCAGTTTGATGAACTGTTGTCGGTGTCGGCTGGAGGATTTCCTCCGGGACACCAATAACAGGCGCTACGTCACAATCATGGCCCCACAAGAGCAAGTTCCTGATTGGTTAACGCAACGAGAATGTCCACTTAAGTTTAGAGTTTAGATTTTTGAACTCGAGCGATTCACGCGAAACACATGCTCTATTTTCGCAATTCGTGTAATTTGCGCCGCGCCGTTCTTGCGTATTAAGCCACAGGATGTCTATTCGCGCCTTTGCATTGACTTAACATGTAAATCACTCGGGTTTGACGCTTCTTCTGCGTCTAGTGTGAACACAGCATTACAGCCAAAAGGTCGCTGGTTCGAGCCTCGACTGGGTCAGTTAGCATTTCTGGAGTTTGCCTGGGTTTCCTCCGGGTGCTCCGGTTTCCACCACAGTCCAAAGACAGGTGGCATAGGCGAATTGGGTAAGCTAAATTATCCGTAGTGTGCGGTGTAAATGAGTGTGTATGAATGTTTCCCAGTACTAGGCTGCAGCTGGAAGCATATTGTGGATTAGTTGGCGGTTCATTCCGCTGTGGCAACCCCAGATTAATAAAGGGACTAAGCTAAAAAGAAAATGAATGAATGAATGCCACTCCCGCCTAAAAAGCTTGACCAATCAAATGCTCTCTATTGTCTGACATGCCCCACCCTCTTTTTTCTTTTGATGCACTCAACTGAATTCATTGGCAGAACTGTAAGAAAACCAAACACTATTGGTTGTTTTTTTTTTGTTTAAAGGGGTGGATCTACTCTATGCCCCGCCCTCTCTTCATGTTTCAGTTGAGATAACGTCAAATTTCGAATGAAAAATGTCGATTTTAAAGCACTTTGTATTGTATTGTATCTAAAAACAATATTTAGAAGCTGAAATAAGATTGGATTCATTCCAGTTGATGACAGTTACCTCAAGTGCCAAAATGAGCCTTGAAATACGAGTAAAAATGCGTATCTCCACAGGCATTATATGAGTCAGTGAAGTGCACTGGCTTGAGTAAACGCTGCTGTCCATGCTGACACTATTGGATCTGCTCCTGTCTGCAAGGCACAATCTGAGCATCGCCTCCATTACTAAATACGCCCGTCAATCTGAGAGCGACAGAGATAGATGCTAATCCTGTAGCATCCAGTGACACAGCATCTGGAAGCGATGGCCTGATCTTTGTGTTAGAGGAGAATAAATGAGGGGAAATGTTACCGAAATCAATCCACTGCACATGGGAGACATGCTGACCTCCAATTACCAGGAGCAGAGAGCCGTCTGTGCATATCAACCATCCGTCTGTCTGTTAGTCAAGACTCAGATCTTCTGCTGTTTGTTTATCGATCACGTTACAGCGCTTTCAATCTCACGCAAAAACAAAGCTTCTGTTTCTTACTTTTCGCAATGTGGGCCTCATGAAAATGAAACATGGGAGGCCTATAAATAAATAACATTTATTCCAGACAGCGGGGTCGACCTCTGTCTCTCTCATTTGAAAATCAAATCATGCTCGTGCTTGTCAGAAACCAAATTTCTTCTTCTTGAGTGAATCTCGCCGCACGTCATAGCTCATCGCAGAAATCAACAAAAAAGCAGGAAATTATATTTTAAAGGGAGTAAGAATACATGAGTGTCTCTTGAATAGGGAACATGAAGCCTATTTTCTGGTCTTTCAGGACTGTTCTAGACATTTTCATTCATTGTTGTCATTAGCCGTTTTATTATTTGTATTAAAAATGTGCTTAATTTGCATAAAATAATGTAATGATGCCAATATGAATTCAGAAATGGAGTTGAGCTACTTTACAAAAATGAACTCAAAACTACCAGTCTTGAGTAAGTTACTTCAAAACATGTATTTATTACTAATTACATCATCAAAACTGAATTTAAATGACTACTCTAATTACTTTGTTTCAAAAAAGTCATTTAAATACCCAATGAGGAATTTAATTACTTGACTCAATAATACTTATAATATCTATAAGTCTCAAAATAATATATAAAAGTTATGAATATGATATATAACTATTAATTTGAGGCTTTTAATTAATGAATTTATAATTAATGATTTGTTATTAATAAAATCAAATCAAAAGGGGGCTAATAATTCTGACTTCAACTGTATATACAGTTGAAGTCAGAATTATTAGTCCCCCTTTAATTTTTTTTCTTTTTTTAATAATTCCCAAATGATGTTTAACAGAGCAAGGACATTTTCACAGTATGTCTGATAATATTTTTTCTTCTGGAAAAAGTCTTATGTTTAATTTCGGCGAGAATAAAAGCAGTTATAAATTTTTTAAGAACCATTTTAAGGTCAAAATTATTAGCCCGTTTAAGCTATATTTTTTTTGATAGTCTACAGAACAAACCATCGTTATACAATAACTTGCCTCATTACTCAAACCTGTCTAGTTAACCTAATTAACTCAGTTAAGCCTTTAAATGTCACTTTAAGCTGTATTGAAGTGTCTTGAAAAATTTTCTAATAAAATATTATTTACTGTCATCATGGGAAAGATAAAATAAATCAGTTATTAGAAATGAGTTATTAAAACTATTATGTTTAGAAATCTGTTCAGAAAATCTTCTCTTCGTAAAACAGAAATTGGAAAAAAAAAGCAGTTTAATAATTCAGGGGGGCTAATAATCTAATAAACTTTATAATAACTAATAAACTTCAACTGTATGTATATATATATAAAAATAAACACAAGCAGCTGTAGAAATCAAAAACAAGTACTAAAACAATAGACCACCAGAATCACAGCCCTGTTTATTTGGGACGAGTCCAGCGCCGAGAAATTCACAAAGAGAACAATCATTGGGTACCCGCTGTTCTTGGCAGGAGACGAACGTCTGGAAGCCTGGAGCCACTCCGAATCCCAGCTGATCGATGAAAGGTGGTTCATCCTGCGTGTGGATCTGTACTTTGATTCCTGCCTCGAACGTGGTCTCGTCTGCGAGAGAGATAAAGAGACATGAACGCGGGGACACAGACTCAATGCAGGCGTCTCAGAAGAAGAGCTGATAGCAGATAAGACGGCCCGCGCTTTCAGCTTATTTCACACTATCAAACAAGCTCAAGCTGAACCCAGGAGTCTACTTTAACTAGATCTATATGGTTGCGCTTCCAGTATGTGAGCTTTTTGGATTTGGAGATTATTTTTTAGAGTTTGAGTTTAACCACCTCCTACCATACAACAGGGAAAATCGTATGTTCACTTTTGTATATGGAAAGGGGTGTTATAATGCACGCTCTGAAATTAATTTACGAATCCAAAAATGCATTTTAATCCACTGAAAAAATGTTTTTTTGGTAATCTTCAATCAAATCTGACCATTTTCTTTCACATTTATAGTGGCAGTACTTAGGTTTGGTTAGGTTAAACTTTAGCCCCTTTCACACGGAAAAATTTCCGGAACGACTTTACCGCTAAATTCAAAAAAGCGCTGTTCACACAGGCGAGGACGTTACGAAATTTTTCCGGAAAAGAGCGTTTACACATCAATTCCAAAATACCGGTAAATTCTTACATCATTAACCAGAAATGAGCTCTAAACGGCTGCGCTTGTGTTTGTAAACATTTGACTACATTACAAACTCTTCGGATGGATCAGTATTGAGTACAACTCCAATGAAAACATAGAGAAACACTTTCGCATGTCGAGATGTTCATGATATGTGTGTGTGCTGGCGCTATGGGCGCTCACGGGCACACGCAAAGCTTGAAGGTAAACAAACAACGGATTATCATAAACATTTTATCGATAATTATTTACACAGTTAGCATTAGGAAGGAACATAGAAACATGATCTGACTAACTTCTAGCAGCTAAATGTGTCTGGAAAAATATTCAAAGGCTTTTATTCCCATAAACCGCGCACACGTGAATGCGTCTGACTGTTCTGATTGGCTAAAGCAGACGTCTCACGTCAGCACGTTCTCGACGTGTACGCGCTCTTTCCGGCAATCTTCCTTCTGCGTTCACACAGCGCAGCAGTCCGGCAAATTACCAATAATGTTACAACTTCTCTTTCCGGAAAATAGCCAGAACGAATTTACCGGTATTTTCAAAAAGGGCCTGTTCACACATACACACCTTTCCGGAAAATTGCCGGTAATTTTCTGGAAAGGTCTGTATGTGTGAAAGGGGCTTTTATTTGTCCCCGAGAGGAAATTTATCTTGGGCAAAAAAGGCGCAACAACATTGCTCTAAACGGACAGTAAAAATAAATAAAACAAAACAATTAAGAACAAACAGTTGAGAACATCCATTGTGTACAGAATAAGACCGTATACAAGTATAAATACATAAAACACAAAACCCAGTCAAGTGCTACTCACTACAGGAGCAGTGTTATTGGTAGAGTTTAACAATTTTATCGAGGTAGGAACAAACGAAAGCTTCAGTCTATTAGTTTTACACATTGGCATTCTCAGTCTTTTTCCTGATGGTAACAGCTGATATTCACTGAAAAGGGGTTGTTTAGAATCAGTGCTAATATGTATCGCTCTTTTCATAGCCGCCTGTTCGTATAGAGTCTGTATGGGCTCATATTGATTATTGCATTATACTTCTAATGATGCGTTCTTCTTAACCACGCCCCTCTTACTGTTAGTTTGCTATAAGGAAATGATGTGCAAAAAGAAACCCCACAGACTAATCACTTTCAAAGGTGTTCCCACAGATTACAGACACCACCCGGTCAGTTCAAGCACTCAAATCCAGTGCATTATTGTCCAAACGCTGGCTTTCATCCCCAGTTGTCTGTTTTTTTTCCATTCAGACAGAGTCCTCGACTAATGACTGGTTACAAATGCGGTTTCCAAGCACATCCTCATTGAGCACACAGAGGAGCACGCAGACGGCTTTATCACACTTTCCCCCTTTTAAACATCTGCTTAATGATAATTAAAGCACAAACAAAAGAGCGTGAGGGAAATCACACAGCCGGCCACAATAAAACTCGCAGATGCGCCTGTTAATGAATACTATATTAGCAGATCATCCACGCCACTGAATGAACTCACTTTTCCAGGGCCTTGTTAAACTCAATCCTGGGTTTATAATTAATCCTGGCTAGTCAGGCTTTACACCGTACTGCAGTCTGCTGGAGATTGTGTAATGAAGCCGATACCCATTAATTCTGGGGGTGTTTTAAAGTTCAGATATACTCGCAAAGAAATTCAGAAGTGCTCTGAGGACGTATTTTACATTCACATCAAATTCAACTTTACTTTTTGGACTCATAAAATCCAAGTTAAAGGGCAAATCTGATGAATGTTGGATGGGGTTGTGCTGATAGCCTGTAAAAAAAAGCTATATTCAGAAATTGGTTGCTGCCTGAAATAACAGAAATTAGAGATTGGCTTGAAGAGGAAAAAATGGGATGAAAATGGAGAGGCTAACAATGAATCTTGGGTTGCAGTCTGAGAAATGTAATGAGTCGTGGAATGGGTGGATTATATTCCTCCAGAGCTAATTAAAATGCTGGGATATTTAATGAAGAGGAGAGAGATGCTGTGAGAGGAAGTAGGTGTAATATGAAAAAATGGTAAATATCTGTGGTTTTTTTTTTAATGAGCTCTAAAATTGACTTTAATAATCATTTGTCTGATTAAGGAAATGGTGCAGAATTTGAAAGAGAAACGAGTGGATTTTTTGGTATTTTTTCACTTGCATTATTGCCAGACTAAATATAGATACTGGTACAACTATGAAGAGGAGAACCAAACATTGCAAGAAAGTTTTTTCTTGTAGTTTGTACATAAGCATTTAAAACTTAATCTCCATGCTTTGTTTGATATAAAGCTGGCTAAACAGCGTGTGCAGTGTTATATTATTATTATATAAACGTAATTTGTTTAATAATTAAAATGTTTTAATTTCCAATAAATAATTTAATATGTCATTGTTATGATCATTAGTGTTTGTGGATCGCTGGAGAACTGCACATCTGCCACTTTACCTAACTACAAATCCCATCACGCCCAGCACTCACACACCAGTTCTAGATCACCCCTTGATTTCACAGACACAGCTGCAGATCATCCGTACCGATTACTTGGACTATTTAAGCACCACAGACACACTCATTCTTTGCTAAGTATTGTCCTTGTTTCCATGTCTTCATCTGGCTTTTGATTCTTGGATTGTTTTTTTGGATTTTGATAGTTTTCCGCTTGCCCTGACCTTTGCCTGTCTCTTGGTTTACACTTTTGGATTGCCTTTGTTATGAATGTTTTGTTCCTGTTTTGACCCCTGCCTGCTATTAGTGGTGGGCAAAGCAAGGCTTCATGAAACACTGAAACAGTCGAAGCAAATGTGTCGAGGCAATGTAATGAGTCATGAAATGGGTGTGTTATATTCTTCCAGAGCTAATTAAAATGCTGGAATATTTAATGAAGAGGAGAGAAATGCTGTTAAAGGAAGTAGGTGTAATATGAAGAAATGGCAAATACAACATTCCATAATGCAATTCATAACCATAAATAAACAGAAAACACTTGTAAATCACAAAATATGGAAACAAAGTGTACCGGCATTATTAATTATCGGTCTAACTGAGGAAATGCCACAAAATTTCGCAGTCTAAATTGATTTCTTGCATTTGATCCTGGAAACAAATCATTTTTTAAACTAAGTTCAAAATAGTTTATAATCCACTATAAATCTGGAGGTGTTTGCCACCATTCGACATTTATAACAATCGATTTACCATTATTTTAATAGGGCTCTGTATACGATTGGCCTCAGACGATACAGTACACGCCTGCCAAAACATTTTACCACTGCATCGTTTCTCTATCATATACTCTTCTGGTATCCAATTCAGGGTTAGCAGGGATCACAACTCAAGGGTAAAAGTAATTCCAACCCATTAAAAAAAAAAAAAAAAGTAACATGTGAATTAACTCAGGTTAAACAGACGTTAGCTCGGGGTTAAGCACACCGTGTGAAAAAACCTGAGAGAGAAGCAGTGCAGAGAGCAGCGTATCTGCAGGAGTCTGCCATTGTCAGGACATCCAGACAGCTGCTTTGTAATTACGGAGAAATGCAGTCAGCCGCGGAGGAGATTTCAGGACAGCGTTCAGCAGCTCGGAGGATGTGATTAGATATCTGAGACCTCGGAGAGCACCTGGCGGCTGGAGAAACTGGAGGCAGCATGAGCAGAACTCCTCAGGAAATCACAGCATTATAAAAACAATCTGGGTAAATGTCGGGCGGTGACACTGGCAGGTGTGAAGGGTTTCCCATCTACCCCCTCTCTGTTTTCAATTACAGTGGCGTGGAGAGGTTAAAATGGTCCCGAGACAGACTCCAGAGGGTTTCACTTCTGAATCTGGACGCGTCTCATCACTACAGCCAGACTGAATCTCTGGACCTTTTTTAAAATGTATTTTGGTGTTAATTTTGTAAAAAAAAAAAAAAAAAAAAAAAAATTGAGAGAAAATTATTATTAAAAATACTTTTTATTTTTATTTTAAGGGGATCTATTATGCAAAAAATCCCTTTTATAAGGGGTTTAAGCACAGTTGTGTGACATCATTGTGTGAATAAAACCAGCTTCTAATGCATTAATTATATTTTTTATAATCTCACTTGATAAAAACAGTCTGCAGAGACACTCTGATTGACATCCCCCTTTGTACGTGTCATCAGAAGGTGAAAGCCCCACCCATTAGTGACAATTTCCGCCTATTTCGCATAAACAGCCCTGAGCGAGAAGCAGCTGTTTTAAATCTGCTGCTATGCTGACACATTGGCATTTTTAGCTCCACCTTCTTTTGAACATCTCATTTGAATTTCAAAGCGACAGTCACCAAAAAGGGCACAATTTGGCCTAAAAGGGGCACTTTCAAAGAGTTAAAAAACATTTGTTGTGGGGTATTTTAAGCAGATTTTTCACATACACACCAAGGTTATTATAGTGAACAAAACAAATGAAAAAACG